AAAAATCATGTTAATATATGTCCACACGCTGGGAAGTGTCCACCGTACGCCCGTGTATTCACAATGGGCGCACGGGAAATGGTTAAAGGCGCCTACCATAAATGACACAATGCTCATTAAGTGGTCTACCTAAAGTAGAACTTTTTTTAAAGTCTTGGATAGCGTAAGGATAGAGTAGATAGTTGTTTACCTAGTGACCATAATACGGTATTACAAGAAGACATTCACAAGTACTTATTTACCATACACTTCAGCCCCATCTAGTGGCAATAATGCAGCATTACCAGATGCCATTCAAAAATACATTTGACGTAAAAAAAAATATAACAAGAATGTTCATTTTGTGCATCTATTCGCACAGAATAAGCAATCACAGAGGTCTGCAGGGCCAATAGCTCTGTGACTTGTTTATAAATAGAGCCCAATGTGTTTGCTGGGAAATAGTTATTTAAGGTTAATGTAATGTCAGATTTCAGGTTATACCAGCAGTTGCTAACTAAATTTAAAGAATCTAAACCAGAGGTAGGCGACCTCGGCAATCCCGCTGTGGTGAAACTACCAATCCCATCATGCCACCGCCTCTGCGAGTCATTCGTAAGAGCCTTGTCTGTGAGTTTTGCACTTTCACAACAGCTGGAATGTCGAGGTTGCCTGCCCTTTATCTAAACAAGAACATTTAATATATGACAGCTTAACAGTCCTTAAAAGGTGGTGGCTACATTAGTTTTTTTTCAGTCTTTATTTGTTGTATCTTAACCTGGCGATCCTGCTAATAATATAATTCCCTGCTAGAGTGACAACGCCAATTCGCTGTACTATATCTATTAAAGAGCAAGAGTGTCACCCTAGGACAGGAAGTGTGTTATGATTGCAGAATACCTCCCCTTCTCCTCTTTGGTATAAGATAGGATTAGGCGTTCTGTAGTCTTTAATGAGAGCTGATATCGCTGCTGGTCAGCAGAAGCAGAAAACATAGGCAGCTGTCAGCTCACAAGCTTTCTCATTTGATTAACAGGTATTTTTTTTTTCCATTTGAACTGGTATAACAAAACACTTTCAATTACATTTAACAACATGGAGCCAATAAGAGAAGTTCATTGTTAGGGTTTACATAACACTTGAACTCAAGTTTCAGCTGTAACCTTTGATCATAACCTGCCCAGTCCCGAGACTCGAGCAACCAGTTCATGAACGGTATCTTTTATTTTATAAACTATCTTGTCCACCCGCAATTTGGGTGACATAACTGTGACATTGCATATTACAGAAGTTCATCGTTAGGGTTTAACCTCAATGCAGCTTGAGGGGTTTCATTTACTACATAGCAGCTGTTATTCAATATGGCTCTGCACCACAGCACATTGAATTTACACAAGCTGGCTTGAAAGTTAATAAACACCTACACAGTCATCCATGCCAAGCCCCTGTAGGATGAACAGGCAGAAGAGCTCTTAATGACAAGAGGAAGAAATGTGTTCTGAACTTCCTGTGAACTTGTAGCACAGCAGGTCACAGAATATATATATATATATGAGGACAGTTTTTCCATAAGCCATTGGCAATGTTATGACTCTATACACACAGAGGATTCTCGCTCTATTAGATATATATAGAATTGGTCGCAAACCGAATCAAATTTCACCACAAGGTTCAATGTAAATAAGGTTAATCCATTCTGGAATAAAATTTTCCTATAGGGTTCAATGTAAATAAGGTTAATCCGCTCTGAATCATATGTAAATTAATTACCGCTCTGCACTTTCTTTTTACCACCGTGCTTGCTCTGCACTTTCTTTGGAGCAATGCTGGATTAAATAATACTGTACAGTACTGTATGTGCTAAAAAGCACACAAAAAGGCTTCACAGCAAGTGTGCACAGGTGGGTCTGCGACCGTAATCTCGACTAGAGGAAGCCACGACCACGTGTCAGAGCGGGAAAGATTGCCGCGGCCGTGTTCATCACCCAATTTGGAATTTGTATATATATATATATACTGTATATTCTGCCTGGCCATCAAAAAGGTCGCCACTAGAGCTGCAGCTAACAATTATTTTCAAAATCGATTAGCTAGCCGATTATTACACCTGTATTTAGCTATGTAAACAGGTCAGAGCCTTCCATTGGATAACAGGTTCAGCAACCTTATGAGGTCAGCTGCCTACCCTAATATACTAAATGACCAGGTTATTCCATCAATGGATTTTTTTCTTCCCTGATGGCACAATGGACATATTCCAAGGTGACAATGCCAGAATTTATTGGGCTCACATTTTGAAATAGTGGTTCAGGGAGCATGAGACATCATTTTCACACATGTATTGGCCACCACAGAGTCCAGACCTTAACCCTATTGGGTGTCTTTGGATGTGTTGGAGAAGACTTTACTCAGTGGTCCGACTCTCTCCTCATCACTACAAGATCTTGGTGAAAAGTTAATGCAACTCTGGATGGAAATTTAATCAAAGCTACAGGCGGTCCAAGAAAATATTAGAGTGTATGACTTTTTTTGGGGCAAAGCAGTGTATATCCCTTATTATTGTCCTCAATTATCCAAATACTAGGACAGCATTCATGATTTTGATGGCCACTAGGTCTTTGTAGAAACAGAGAACATTTAGAACAAATCAGTGTGTTCTAGTTAAATGGGTGTTTGCCCAGGAGATAGGAATACGACCTGAACTTAGAGCTGAACTCCAGGAATGATCTTATTTTGTTGGTCCAGCTTGGTTAGGATTGTAGAAAGCAATATAGTCTCTCCTGAGATGGACCAGTATACTCCAGCTTGGTTACATCTCATTCTTCATATCTCACATCAGGAGGGGTGCTGAAATTCATTGTAATAGTCTGTGCTACATATAGTCAGTGGTCCTTTGCGTGCGCTGCTGGAGTGGCTTGCCACCTGTATAGGTCGCTTGTTGGGCACCTCCGCCATTCAGAGAACATCCTGTATTTTTTTTCAAAGCACACAAGGCATTCTCTGATTGGATGAGGCAGAGCTTGCCTTGTCATCTGCCCCTCCTTTATGTCTTGTCCAAACAGTGCTGACTGCATGTAGCGATTGGTGGTGGATTGTGGATAGAGCTGGTCCACGAAGTTTTGGCGGCAATACTGCCACCTCCTGAAGGCCATTTGGTTTTTTCGATCTCAAGGGGGATTTTACATTGAAATACTGTGCCTATGGCAAGTGGCCCCACCTGGCAAAACCTTCCTGTACAAATTGTACCCGCGACCATGTAAATCTTTAGGTGGATGGTAAAAACAGAGAGCAACTGCAAGGTTTTTCTGCCCCTTTGTGGCCAATGTGAATGAGGCCTTCAGTGCAACTGAAGCCAAAACTTTTTTTCCCCTTTGGATAGGGTGGTGAGAGATTAGAACCGCTGTCAGATTTTTATTGTGGTCCCCAATAGGGAGATTCACCCTCTCTATTTGTCCTGGTGACCATTATCACTGGAAGTGAGAGAGAATCCCAAATTCTGGGTCGTCATAAGAACAGGGATAAATGGGAAATCTTCCAATGCAGACATTAGTTCTGGTGACCCTGTTGAGCACCAGGAATTTCCGTCTCTTTGGAGAGATTTCCTCTCACTTCCGGTTGTGACTAACACACAGGAAGTGAAGGGAAATTTTCTCAATGGGACACAGGTGCCAAAAAACTGACAGGAGTTATAACCCTCTCATTACTATCAAAAAAAAGTTTTTGCTTCAGTTCTACTTTAAAGAAGAACTCTGGGCAATCAAAAAATGAACCCTTGCAGTGGGGTTACCCACACACTATAGGGGGTTAACTGCTCATTTGGTCCAGTGGAATCAAATAAAGCAGATATACTCATCTGATCCTCAGTCCCACTTCGCTGCTGGACCGGTTTCAGCAGCCACTTGAACACCGGGCTCTGACGGTCTAAGGACGGTCTAAGAGTCGCCATCACGTCTAATGCATCTTAGATGTAAGGACTCCGAGGGACATTCCACTGCCAGAGTGGAGGGTAAAGGTGGCCATACACTTTACAACCATCGCAAGACCTTAGTCTTGCGATGGTTGTAAATTACTTAAAAAAACGTACGATCTGCCCATCTTGGACAGGCAGATCGTACTTGCGATCATCGCAAGCCCACCCCCTTGAGGGGCGGGCTTGCGATGACTGCAATGAGGGGCGGGCTTGCAAGGACAGCAAACGGGCAGCGTGCGCACACCGGCCCGTTCGTCAGTTGTCGAACTAGCAGGCCGCTCACTCGCCGAGAATCGTACGATTCCCGGCGGGTTTTCCAGCCTGCTTGTTCGATGGAAGACGTGCGACCGTACAGTAGAAACGGTCGCACGCCTTCCATACACTGTACGATTCTCGTACGATCGCGGGATTTCCCGCGATTCTCGTATGAGAATCGTACAGTGTATGGGCACCTTTAAAGAGGTGAGCAATGCACAGGATTGAAGATCGGGTGAGTGTATCGTCTTTATTTTAACCCAAAGACCAAAATGAGCAGTTGCATTAGACATGATGACTCAGGTCCTTAGCCCTCGTTCACACCTGAACGTTTTGTAGCGTGTTCTACGCTCGACGAACGCTCTACAAAACGCTCAAAAATATAAATCCCATTTTATTCAATGGACTCGTTCCCACCTTGGCGTATTTCCGCCCGTCCCGGTCGCGCAACTTTTTTACCACGAATCGCGGTAAAAAAACGTACGACGGTCGCGCGACAGACGCGCATATGCAATACACCTAGGTGTGAACGAGACCTTAGGCCCGGGGTAGATGAGTCTGTTGGGACCGGGCAAGCAGTCAAGTGGGACTGAGAATCAGGTGAGTATTTCTGCTTTATTTGACTCCCCTGGACCAAAATGCGCAGTTAACCCTTGCAGTGTGTAAGCAGCCCCCCTGCAAGGGTTCATTTTCCAATTGCCTGGAGCTCTTTAAATAGAAATCAGAATAGAAAAGCGAAATGAAACAGTAAAACATGTAAAAGAGTTATAAAAGTAAAAACATAGAAGCGACTTACTTCATAGGTTTGAACAAGGCTTGCCCATAATTTTGGAAAGTCATGATCAGCTTGAGCTGGGTACCTCCAGATTTCATTGCTAGTAAAAAAGAGAAAAGAGAGAGAGATCAATAATATTCTCTACCCATAAGGGCCGATTGTTTTCTTTTTATCTGACGTTTTCTTGGTTTTGCAGAGCGGGCTGACAGCATAGCGCACGGCTGAATGTACAGGGACTGGAACACGGCTCAGCGATTAGCTAAACAGCTCATTACAGATCTCCTGTAATGTCATGTTTTCAGACTGATCTTGCGGGGAATTACCCGGTCCACATTTCACATGAAAAGCACACTTTGATTTCCAGCTAAAACATGTCTTCCACTAACTCTAACCTGCTGACACTCCCGGCTGATTGTGATTTTCTGGAAAAGTGCTGTTTATTCTCTGAAAAACTATCATTACCGATGATTGTGTAGCTTCAAACATAATTATCGGTTTTCATATGCACAGCACAATGCTTTAAACAAGTGTTTGTGTTTTGCCGCACACACAGGTTTGCTGGACTAACAGTCTACGGGTAACCCGATGAGACAATAGTTCTGGATGTATGGGAATCAGGGAAAGCGTGCCTTGGCAGCACGATCGCAGCATTTGTTATTGTGCTTTAAATACCACATGATAGGAGAAGCATGTACGTTCTATTGTCTTCTGTGGTGTTTAACAGCTGATGAGGGAATACATATAGAGGAGCAAAAGGATTTGAGTTCCTGTCCATTTAGTCCTATGATAGATATAGCTCTGCTGTTGGTGAGCTGAATTTCCTAGCTGGAGTTAGTCCCGTACACAACTATAAATGGGAGCCGAAATGTGGGAAAAATCATGTGCTTGGACGGAATGCGTCAAAATCATGCAACGCTCTTGCTGTGCTATTACTTGTTACCCATATGATACATGTTACCTGCACACCTATGTCTTGTGTCAATAATCCATCTTTATTGAAGCAGACTGTCACAAAACAACGCTTCGGGGCCACGCAGGGTCCCCTTCATCAGGTTTTAGTATGGGTATGGGAAGGGTGGGCAGTCTATTGCCACGTCATACTAAAACCGGATGAAGAGGACCCTGCGTGGCCCCGAAACGTTGTTTTTTGACAGTCTGCATCAATAAAGAAGATGGATTATTGACACAAGACATCAAGACATAGGTGTGCTGGTAACATTTATCTATTATTTGAAGATGCACGGCACCATCCGTGGTTACTACGGCGCCCTCCTTTCTTACATAGGGGTTGCGGTACGGAGTGCAGCTGTTCCTCTCCAAGATTACTTGTTACCCAAATGCGGGTGGGAAAACAAATGTTTTTCCTGCGCATTCGCAAGCATTAAAAATGTTGTACGCATGTAGCAAATAGCAATGTAGCATGTAGCTGGTCGCGTGCGCAGCACCCATTGAAATGGGGACACGTGTAAAACGCAGGAAAAGGAATGCAAACAAGCATGAACACGTGGCAACATGCGTTCCTGGTACACCTAGGCTGAGCTTACCTTTTTTTGTATTCAGGGTGTAACATGAAACATAGTCACATCAGCGCCCTCCCCCCGACCCCCCTACTCAAATTGGGTTTATTTTTTCCTGCTATTGCAAGTTTTTTAATCTTGTGCAGCTCTGTTTGGCTCCTCCCACACAGCTGCGTCATTCATTCATAGATACTTTGACAAGATCTGTGAATAGAGAAACTACCAATCCCATCAGACACTGCAGCAGAGAGACGTATAGTTCTCAGTGGAATACAAACATGGTAGTCTATTATTTCTTCCTGCCATTCCTGTAAGCCAAAGATGGGCTACTCCACCCCTCCAGCTGTGCTTTAACGTCAAATTCCAACATGCCTCTGCCTCTAGGAAATATTCCTGTAACTGTCAGTTTGGTAATGCTTCATGGGACATGTAGTTCCACAACAGCTGGAGAGCTGGAGTTGCCAACCCGTGTTGTAACTGAAATCTGTACTGAGGTACATTTACTCTCTCTGCTGCACCAATGCCAGGTTGCTCAATGCGCCCCCCCTGTCTGTAAGCTGCATACAAGTGATCTCGGCGACATCTCCGGGATCACTTGTACAAAACAAGCAGCGGTTTCCCCGCTGTACATTTAGTCATGCTTGCCCAAAGCAGGGCTAAATGTAGAAAACATAATACATTCTTTTATGAGTATGTGCATTTTTTTAAATTTATTTTTAAAGGTGGACTTTGCCTTTAAAGCTGATCTCCAGTGAAAACCCTAAATACACTGAAAAAATACATATATGGGAGCTTTTGTATGTGCTAATGGATTTGCATTTCTGTTCATCCAGTCCTGAAATAGGCACAGCTTTGCTAGACAGCACAGACAGGTTGGCGACCTGACTTTTTTCAAATGCAGTTAACGTGCAACTGAGCTCCTGGCAAACACTGACCTCAGTGAGCTGGGATGCTCTGGCTGTCAATTGACCCAAAGAGATGCCATATGAGGCAACCAGCTCAAGCTGTCTCATTATAAGGATGGCCCTGGAGGCTGCCATTGCTGACCATTCCTTCTGAAAATGCTGGCTGTCATGCTGATCCATCCGTTTTAACACTTTTTGAGCCACTGGCTCAGGACTAGTATACAAACGACAGTCAGAGGATCAGCATGAAAGTCAGGCAACAAGCATTTTCAGAAGGTACCACAACATGGATTTGCTTAAGTGTTTTCTGGTGATCCTTAATACTGGCTGAAATAATTGAATATCCGCCTCTGGAACTGGCTATTAGACATGTGCACCAGCAAAAAATTCGTTTAGTTTAGTTTCAATCATCTGACCACAGGCTGTAGAGTGATTCCAAAACTCCAAATCAGCCAAGTCAACACTAAAATAATAGTCAAAATGAATCATAATGATTTTCATAGATTTCTACAGACAACACCTTTCTTTACAGCCTTCTCTATACGGTAGATGTAATACACCGGGCCCTTTAACTGTGTTGTTCTGGCAGCTGTAGATTTCTTCAGTGCTACACATTCTTGTGCTTCATGTTTTTTGACAAAATAATGCAATTCAGCTTCATAGTTTCAGGGCAAATTCATTTTATCCTCTCCTTTCACTTCAAAGACTGTCATATTTCACCATCTCCTTGTCTATTCAGACAGTAATGTTGTACATGCTTTAGGGCCGTTCACACTATCTATTTGGTGCAACAATGCATTTATGAGATGTAGTGTCATTCATTCTGAAAAGCACCTCTATGCACCTGCTGGACGTGAGTTGCAGCATAGTGCACGCACGTTACTGCAAACATGGTGTGAACAGGCCCTTATTATTTTTGTCAGTGGCTTTTCGTAGGGGCTCATTTATAAAAGTTTCACCAGGCCTCTATGCTGGGCAGATGCTGTTTGCATGAACCTAGCACCCCTTGCTGGCGCTGACAAGTATAAGAATTTCATATACTCCTCAGCATCATCTAAGGGTGCTAGTGCCGTGCAAACGCCATCGGCCCATATAACTTTTAGAAATAAACTCCAAAGTATATATTAATCCTTACAGATCATAAAATGAAAAAATGAATCAGTTTTTTTCTATAATATGTTCTAATACACTTGTTCATTCCCCAAACACATGAGATATCCCAAAAGGGCAAAACTCTTAAATTAAAAATTTTAATTTTTAATCTTAAATTTAATTAAAATAAACCAAATAATTCTACAACATAATGTAAACTAAAAAAGATCAAAACAACAAAATACAGAAATATACCCAAAGAATAAGGAAAATCAAAGTGCCAATTCAAAAAGATATACACAATAACTCTACAATAAAAGCAACAAACATACATAAATAATGTTCTATTATGGGGTATATGTTTTATAGTTGGTGTATTGGTATTCTTTTTTTCTGTGTATATTGTATATATTCTGTGTGATAATCAGTGTAGTGCAGTGTATGGAAGGCGTGCGACCGTTTCTAATGTACGGTCACACGACTTTTGTATTTCGAGCATGTTGGAAAACCAGCCGAGAATCGTACGATTTTCGGCTGGTTTTTAGCATGATCGAGAGATAACTGCCGAACGGGCCAGTGTGACAGTGGTCCTTAGGCTCTGTTCACACCTAGGCGTATCGAATATGCGCGTTTGTCGCGTGTTTTATGACGCGCGTTTTTAAATCGTGGTAAAAACGTGCGACAACCGCGTGTTTCCGAGGGCTACGTGGCTGTATCCCAATGGAAACGCGCAAAAAAAACGCCGCAAAGAAGCTCATGTACCTTGTCAGGCGTAGGCCGTTTTGTAGCGCGTTCAGACAGGCTGAAATACGGCAAGGCGTGAACCATACCCATAGAAAACAATGGGATTTTCATGTTTGAGCGTTTTGTAGAGCGTTTGTAGAGCGTTGAACGCGCTACAAAACGTACAGGTGTGAACCAGGCCTTAGACAGCTGGAGTAAAAGGGTGAAGAAGCTGGTCTAGCATCCCAGAGGGAGTCAGCAGGGGCAGGGATCAGGCAAATAAAAAAGCTATTTCCAGTTCCCTAGGGATAAACAAGCACTTAACCCCTGCAGTGCAGAGGCAGCCCCACTGCAAGGGTAGTTTTTTTGTTTGCCCAGAGATGGGAGTAAAAGGGTGAAGGGACTGGTCTAGCATCCCAGAGGGAGTCAGCAGGAGCAGGGATCAGGCACATAAAAAAGCTATTATCAGTTCTCTAGGGATAAATGAGTACTTAACCCCCTGCAGAGGCAGCCCCACTGCAAGGGTAGTTTTTTTTTTGCCCAGAGATGGGCTTTAAGATGAGCCGTGCAAACCTCCATATTTATCTCAGCAAGTCTCCTTTAAGAACTGCAATAAAGGGTAAAGAAGCTAATTATATATTACAGAAAAAAAAAAAAGAAAAACCTGCAGCAAAAATGTCACGGATGGAAAATCAAGGGAAAACTGGCACTGCACAAAAAAAAAAAGTAATCTGTGTCTATTTTTTAACACCATGTTATGTAAGGCTGCCTGCTTTAATTACTCATTCATTATAGTTAGATCTCTTGTGGATTCCTGCTTTTATTGACCTATGTTTTCTATTAGATCTCCAGAATTTCCCCAA